ATAGAGATAGACAGATAGATAGAGATAGATAGATAGAGACAGAGATAGAGATAGATAGATAAGACAGAGATAGAGAGACAGACAGATAGATAGAGATAGATAGACAGAGACAGATAGATAGAGATAGATAGAGAGAGAGACATATAGATAGAGATAGACAGATAGATAGAGATAGATAGATAGAGACAGAGATAGAGATAGATAGCTAGAGACAGACAGATAGATAGAGATAGATAGACAGAGAGACAGATAGATAGAGATAGATAGAGAGAGAGACATATAGATAGAGATAGACAGATAGATCGAGATAGATAGAGATAGACAGACAGATAGAGATAGAGAGAGAGAGGCAGATAGATAGAGATAGACAGATAGATAGAGATAGATAGATAGAGACAGAGATAGATATAGATAGATAGAGACAGACAGATAGAGATAGATAGAGATAGACAGATAGATAGAGATAGATAGAGAGAGAGACAGATAGATAGAGATAGACAGATAGATAGAGATAGATAGAGATAGACAGATAGATAGATAGACAGATAGATAGATAGACAGATAGAGATAGAGAGCAGATAGATAGAGATAGATAGATAGAGACAGATAGATAGAGAGACAGAGATAGATAGAGAGAGACAGATAAATAGAGATAGACAGATAGATAATAGATAGAGAGAGAGACAGATAGATAGAGATAAGCAGATAGATAGAGATAGATAGAGATAGACAGATAGATAGAGATAGATAGAGATAGACAGATAGATAGAGATAGAGACAGATAGATAGAGATAGATAGAGACAGATAGATAGAGATAGACAGATAGATAGAGACAGACAGATAGAGAGACAGACAGACGGACCTCCGCCACCACCACGCTGCCTCCTTCCAGGTCGTGATCCACCCGCGGTACGACGGCAACACCTTGGAGAACGACATCGCCCTGCTGAAGCTTTCGTCCAAGATCACGTGGCCTTCGGACAACACCGTCGCCCCCGTCTGCCTGCCTTCCGCCGGCGAGTCCTACGGCGACGTCAGAGCCACCGTGACGGGTTGGGGCGCCCAGTCCGAGAGTGAGTTGGTGGTGGGAGTCCGAAGAGTGAGTTTTGTTGTGGTTGGTTGAGTTTCCCGGTTTTTTTTTTTTTTTTTTTTCCAGCGGGGGGGGGGGGTATATGAGAGCTGGTTCAAGTGTTCGGCTAGGGGTCGTTTGTGGTGGTGGTTCTTGTGTTTGGAGTGGAAGGGGGGTTAGTGGGAGGGAGGGTGGAGGAGGGGAGGGGGAGGAGGGGAGGGGAAGGGGGGGGTGGAGGGGAGGGGAGGGGTAGGAGGGATGGAGGGGGAGGGGGTGGAGGGGGTGGGGGAGGGATGGGTGTGGGGTGGGAGGAGGGGGTGCGGTGGGTGGGGTGGGGTGGAGGGGAGGGGAGGGGTGGGGGTATTTTAGCTCTGGGGAGAATGCATAAGATTTTTTTTTTTTTTCTTGAGAGGAAAATTTGTGAAATGGGTTATTTTCATGGAGAAAATTGTGTGTAATTATCACAATCATCCATATTTCATGTGGAATCGGGTGGGAACTTTATTATCTTATAAGATAAAAAGAATACTGATATTCTTCAATAATTCATCATATTTAAAGCTATTTCTTATAAATTCTGTTCAATATTCCATTTATTATCAAATTATGTTGATATATCGGTATGCTCTTTAACTTTTGTATATTTATAATATGTGTGTGGTTGAATCGTAGCAGTGGGGTTCGCGTTCTTTCTGTCTGACCATGTCGTTATCTTCTCCTCGTCTCGATGGTATTATATGCAATAATTTAATTGTTATAATCTAATACAATAACACATAACAGCGATATTAAAAATGAAATTCACAAAGAGCCATAATCATCACTCATACCTCTCAATTTATTATCGTTACCTAATCTGTCTCTAGACTCCCACACCACTGTCACACATACACATAATCTTCATAAGTATCATACACCACTCTCCCCAATTTATTATCCAGTTTATATACACACTGCACACATTCACATACTGACAAATTCATATAAACAACCCGCAAACCCCCATCTATTTCATCGTTTATAACACCACACACAACCACCAAAATTCATATACACATCATATATCTCTCTTCATTATTATTCTCGTTATAACACACACACACACACAAATTTCATATACAACTCGCCGTTTCCGCAGGTGGACGTTATTTGCCACAACTCTACGAAGTGACAGTGACAACCTTGACAAACGCTGCATGCAACTCTCTCTATGACGGCGGAATCCTGGATGGCATGATCTGCGCCGGCGATGAGGGGAAGGACTCGTGCCAGGTGGGGAGTCAAGGAAATAATGTGTGTTTGCGCGTTTCTACTTTATTATTGTTATTTTTATTATCAATATTGTTATTTTTATTATTATTATTATTATCATTTTTGTTGTTGTTGTAGTTATTATTTTTGTTGTTATTATTATTATTGTTATTATTATT